CTGCCAATCATCTGCGTGTCTGTAGGTGTAAGAAAGAAAGAAAGAAAGAAAGAAAGAAAGAAAGAAAGAAAGAAAGAAAAGAAGAAAGAAGGAACTGCCAATCATCTACGTGTCTGTAGGTGTAAGAAAGAAAGAAAGAAAGAAAAAAAGAAAAGAAAGAAAAGAAAGAAAAAGGAAGAGGGAAAAATAGCGTCAAATAAAATTTATGAAAAATTAGGGGGAAGAGAACGAATACTTCTGAAGATATGTAAGAACGCACATTCAAAGAAAGAAAGAAAGAAAGAAAGAAAGAAAGAAAGAAAGAAAGTTACATTTTGGTAGAGGGGAAAAGAAGAGAGAATAAGACAAATACTTCTAAAGATACGCAAGCACGCACACACATGCACAGAGAGAAGAAATTAAATCACAATTCGAAAATTTAGTCAAGAAAAATCACTTTATAAGTTTAATTTCCAGAAATACTCATCCGTCCAAAAAAATGGCCAAAACCAAAAAATGCGTCAGTCATAAAAATAAATGCAATTGTAATCCTGATTTTATTTAAGTGAAGATGCTATTCGATGTTAGAGCATATACTAAAGTCTTTTTTTATTCCATGTCCCTTAAGATCAAAGGTGATCATGGCTCTCTACATGTACTTTTTCTTATTATCTGAATTATCATGACTTCTTGGATCTGAATTTAGAGGGATGAAAAATTATCATCATTTATATTATTTACAGTTGGACTATTGTCCTCATTTTTGTTCTTACGATGAAAATATTTCGGCCGTTGTGTCCCCTGACCTTCTTTAGGTATCTGTTGATCCGGGTAACATTCTGGGAATTTCAAACTGAACCCTTTATTCAATCTACGGGAGTAGTTCTAACTTTACAATTGACCCGCGAGATAATGGCCTAGATAATTAAAACGGCGTTTCGTGATATAATCCACATCCCGATCCTTGGCAACAGGAATAGCAATAACTGTACAATTAGCCAAGACCAGATATCTTTAGACATGGATATATGGATGGGAAAAAGTTACCCCCACACCCTTATACTGAAAAAGAGCTCAGTTCGAAATCCATTAAAGTTTACTTACCCGGATCGATAGACACATGAAAAAGACTGGTGTGCACAATGGCCGAAATGTTGTGATCGTAACAACAAAAATGTAGATATTAGTTCGATTCGAAATAATGTAAATCACATTGCAACAAACTTCTCACATTTCTTTTTTCGTTTTTTTTTATTTGGATTTATTGGAGAAGTTTAAATTGAAGAAATTGAATGTTAAATTGAAGGTTAAATTGAATTAAATTGAATTTAAACTGAAGGTTGAATGTTAAACTGAAGGTTAAATTGAAGGTTAAGTTGAATGTTAAACTGAAGGTTAAATTGAATGTTAAACTGAAGGTTAAATTGAATGTTAAACTGAAGGTTAAATTGAAGGTTAAGTTGAATGTTAAACTGAAGGTTAAATTGAAGGTTAACTTCCGAAAATTTTCAGCATTTTTTTAGAAAAAATAATTAAACTGACATATAATATTATTGAAGAAATTAATATTATTTTCCGAAATAAAGAAACGGACAATTCTGAATTCAAAAAAATTTTAGAAGATAGTAAACTGAAGACTAAAATAAATATTAAATTTAAATAAATAAATTTTCAACTTTTTTCAAAAAAATAAATTAGCAAGTAATATTAATATTAGCAGTTTCCTTATAAATGAAAACTTTGGCATTCCTTTTCACAGAACGCTTTCTGAAAATTTATAAAATCTTTCTCTTAAAACACTTTTTTAGAAATAAAGTTCAAAATGTTATCTCTTTCCACAATTTCCTTCCAAACCTTCTATTTGAAAATGTTTTTTGATTATGTTATTATTTCTCATCCCAGTTACATGTGCTATCCATTTTATCTTGGCTGTTGGTAGATCATTGTGGTTCCTTTTATTTTGTACATTTCTTTGTGATTCTGTAGCGCCAGGATAATATTCGGTTGTTTTTTTTTTTACTGAAAAGCCTTTTTTCAATATCTTAAATTGTTATATATTAAATTAAAATATTTCTGAATTAGTTTTCTGAAATCCATATGACAATGGTAGTCTCAATCTGAATGACTCGAGTTTTGGGGCTGATGTTTTGGTTTCAATAGCAAATTGCAGTGTTTGAATCAACCTTTTCTATATTCAATTTCTTTTTCTTTGCTTAATTTGTTATAGATGAACATGATTTTTCTGAAAAGTATTTACTAAATCCATCCTATAACTTTAATTAATTCAAGGTTGTTGTTTCATTGCCATCCCAATTAATCATAGTTTCTTTGTGGAATTTTCGTCAATTGGTTAAATTCTTATCCCAATTATGCAGTAAAGGAAGCAAGATAATAAACAGATGCAGTTTTGCAAATATTCAATAAATCAGATTCAAAGCATAATCAACTTTATCTTTTATAAATAAACAACTTTATTTTATAAATAAAGATTGATCGATTGAATGTTAATTTGGTTTCTACGGTTTATTAAACTTTTACAGGTTATTTAAAACCAGAAAAAAATTTTGAATAATTGTTTAGTGATCCAAGTCTTACTAATTAATCCACAACTGGGGACAAGAAATGCATTTTTTCAATGGGTTTTTGCAGCCTTTTATAGTTCCTTTTTGTATATCAAGTTTACGAAAAATGCAGAGTGTTGAATTTGACCGAATTTTTTTACGACTGTCTTTTTTTTTTTTTTTTTCTTTGTTTGTTTTTTTTAGAAGTTTTTTATTTTTTGAAGATAAGGGTTTTTGCGCGTAAAGTGAATATACATGCGATCCGCCATTCATTCCATTTCTTTCCACAAATCCAAACTTACAGCACCTGGTATTCCATCTAGGCAAGAAGTACGAATATGAAAATAGAAGGAAAAAATCAATATACTTTTGTAGCCCGTATATTTTGTTTCGAAGAGAATTTTTAAAAGCAACTATAAACACTCAAGGGAAACTGCCTCCTTTAAACTCCTTTAAATTTTCGTCAATTGGTTAAATACAAACTAAGCAAGATAATGACAATAGCAATACTAAACTTGCAATGCTTTATCGTGAATTATTTTCTCATGGATTTAACTAAGTCAAGAATTCTACTGAAGTATGCATATTTTCGATGCAGCCTTTTTATCGCTACTTTTTTGCCTCAAGAACTGTTTTTTTTTTGTTTTTTTTGTTTGTTTGTTTTTTTTTGTTTTATTTTTTTTGTAGGATACATATCCGCCATTCATTTCTTTCTTTGAAACTGCATACAAGAAGTCAGAATATGAAAGAGAAGGAAAAGACTTACAAGAGAATAATGCACGAAAAAAAACAAAAACGATGATGAACAAGCACCATTTTGTGTGCTTAGAGGAAACCATGTTATTTGATCAATATCTCGTCTTTTACATACAAAAAAAAAACATATCACTGCTTCAAATATACTTAATAAAATTTCACACCATACAAGGCTCATGAGACACTCAGGGTAGGAAGCAATAATCGAAATGATTATGATGAATGAGTTGTGTGATATGAATGCAAAAGGAAGTGGTAGGCAGTGAAGATGAGAAGGAGGATAAATAACGATTGATCCTCCACTTGAAGAGGTGTATATTGTAGGGTTCAGGAAAGAATCACAATAATACATTTCTTGGGAACCGGAACTTTCTCCTTATAATTGAAATACGGGGGAAATGTGGGTGATTCGACTTCGTGGTCGTAACAAGGTTTAAAATTCTGAACTGATAGAAAATAACAATAGAGTAGCAACTAGCTTGCAACACTACGTCGGTGAGAAAGAGACTGCGGATTAAATTGTAGATAAACTGTCCAAAGTTCATGATTTTGTTGTTTTTGTCTGATTATTCACAGTCATTACGAAGAACCAAATGTTGTCGGATTCATTGTAATCATTTTTTTCATTAGTATTATTCATTGCAATATTAAGTTCTTGATAATGTCCTAAATATTCGAAAGTACTCAAATAAAAACATTAACTTTGTAAGGTTTGTCCACAAATTTGATTCGGTCGTACGAAACTTTTTCTAAAATTGCTAACGACAATAAAATCAAACAAATGTTTCTTCAAACTCGTTTGATTTTATGTTTTCGATCAATATATAATGTTTTTCTTGTGTATAAAAGGAGCTAAGAACAGGCAATAAATTACATCTTTGTATATAATACAACCCCGTAGTAAAAGTTTTGTGATGTCAACGAACACTCGTTGTCACATTTGTGATGTCAACGAATACACGTTGTTACTTTCGTAATCCACATTATAGTAGAGACTCTGTAAACACAGATACAACTTTAGTAACGCCGTTGAACAATACTGGTGCTAGACGCCTTCGAATAACACTCGCACTAATGGTACTTGCTGGAATAGTAATCCGGGTAGTGAACAGAACAGAGAAATAGTATAGTGAATAGAGTAGAGAATAGGGGCCCCTATGTTAATAGAGGATAGAGGAGAAAAAGCGATAATATTTATTGTACATGAAAGTACAAATGTAGCACAAGACCAAAAGGGGGAATGGGGAAAAGAATGGTCTTCTTCTGTCTTAACGTTAAATTTAGCTAGCCACAAATACTGACCCAAACATACAAATAATATTCCTTCCGCCAAAACAACAATTCTTACTTACCATTCTTACCTCATCCACCATAATACCTCAGAAACTCTATGAAGTCCTAACTAGTCCCCATATGTACAATTCATTTTCTGTGGTGGGAGGGGAATAAAAATAAAATTTTAAAATCCAATGAGGATAAAAAGCGATCGTTTATACGTCGCGCTACTTTCTACTCATGCGTGTTCTAATGGGATCGCCTAAAATCATCCATTTGTGTATAATACAACTTAGATTGTAAGAATTTTTTAAATACCTTTCCCAAGGGTATTTGCGTGTAAGTGAACAAAGCCAACCCGGATAATGAACTCGCCTCTCCGATTAACAATTCCGAGCCATTACCCCTGACACCACGAGCACATCCAAGCTTACAGCACCTGGTATTCTCAACTGATCACCCAACATAGGTACTGATCAATCTCGACGTTGCTTAACTTTGGTGATCGTACGGGAGCCGGTGTGTCAATGTGATATAATCGTAAGCCTGGCATATGAAAATTTAATTGAATTATGGCATTATTTTCCTTTCTAATTGCATGTGCGTTTTTGTTGCTGTTGGAAATGTTTAAGTAATGTGGGTTTTGTTATTAGGCAAAGTTCTTTGAGATTATGTAGCGTCAGTCCATAGGGTTTAATCTAATTGATTGTCTTCTTTAAGACCTATAAGATTCATTCACTTGAAAACCCTTTTAATAGTTGAACTGAGAAAATCATTCTTCTTATTCTTTTATGTACCGTGTCCCGTCAACACGTAGGCGATCATAGCCCTCCACATAACTGACTGACTGAGGTTCTTTAAATATATACTTAGTTTAACTTAAACGAGTCCAATTCCAAAGCTGGATAGTTTTGCACACAAACGACGTTGCTTGGATATAGAGAAAATCTCGTAGGAAATTGAAAACCTAAAATGACGTAAGCAGAAGCTTACACGGAAATAATTTGGCTAGAAATCTGTTGTAGGCGGGGTGTTATAAAAAAAAAGATGTCATAAGAAAAATGTCATGAGAAAAAAAGATTCAAAAGGGTCAGAGGAAGATGTCATGGGAAAAAGGTTCATAAGTTATGATAGGAAAAAAGACAGAAGGGAAAAATATAACTTATAGAAAATAAATAATATTTTAACATATTTAATTTCTATTAGTAAAATAAAAGACACTTACTTGATTTAAAGTACTAGGATAAGCCTTATTTTAATTGATTTTTTATTGTAATCGGCTTTACTCGTTAATATTTATTATATTTAAATTATTTATTTTATTACGGAATGAAATAAATTGTTTTATTTTATTAAAAATATACCTTTATTAATATAAACATTACTTTTATTTCATTAGTCTCAATTTAAAATACTTTTTATTTTATCAAAATATTAATTTTTTATTTAATATAATTGTTTATTTTATTACAGTAAATTGAATATTTTATTTTATTAATATATCACTTACTACAAAAATTACTTTTTATATTATTACCAAAACTTAAATAAATTATTTTTATTTAAATATTTCTTATTTTTTGGTTGTGAATATGACTTTTATTTTATTACTATAAATAAAATAAACTGTTTATTTTATTAAAATATTTTATTACAAAGATCACTTTTAATGTATATACATAAACTAAATAATTTATTTTATGAAGAATATTACTTTATTATGATAAACATTACTTTTATTCTATTAGTATAAATTACATTATTTTATTAAATTATTTTATTACTATGTCTGGATGCAAAAGTACTCTAGTAACAAAATACAAGGGGCTCCTGACAGACAAGAGACAGACCGCTGTAGAGAATATTCAATTACTGTATAATCTTCTACGTGCATAAAAGCTTGTTGCGTTCTAAAAAATGAGGAAGCTACTCTGTCTCTCTTAGGAAGCTAAAAAAAATAAGTTGTATGGAACAATTTGCTATTGATATATATGTTCTGTATGGTTAGAATTTGTTATATATGTATACTTTTTTACCTTATTTACATTGTTCGGATTGATGTTCTCATCTTTATTGCTATATTCACGATGTTTCAGCCGTTGTACGCTCCGACCTTCTTCAGGTGAGTTGAATTTCGGACTTTTATCCACTGGGCCATGTGTCCTCAAGGACACATGGCCCAGTGGATAAAAGAGCTGTGAGATCAATACCTGGCTACTGCAGTGGTGAACAAAAACTAGGGAGTTGAGTTAAAGGGAGGTAACTGAGACATCTGGAAGAGGCATGGAACGTGAAACTAGAACAATCTACCCTGGTGGATGATATAAAGGGTTCAGCTCGAAATTCCAATCCTCTGAAGAAGGTTGAAACGTACAACGACCGAAACGTCGTGAATATGGCAATAAAGATGAACACAACAGTCCGAAAATTGTAAATATTATTAATAATTACAATACCTCATCTCAGAAATATATATAGGTATGTATACACTAGTTTAGCATAAAAGATTTTTCATCTTTAACTCATTTTTAGAGTTCATTTGTCTCTGTTATTCTATTACTTTCATCTGCCTTGTTAAGATGTTAGAGTATCCTGTATATATTAATGACTTTATTGGACCTTGGAGAAGAGATAAAACCGAGATGTTTCCTTTCTCTTTCCAAGCATCTAAAGTAAATAAATAACTGACAATTTTATTTTATAAAAATTTATATATTTTTTATGTTTGTTTCCCTTGTCAGAAATAAAAGTTACAACTTTTTCAGTTACACGAAAACCACTTGTATTAATTCACTAATTATTGTTGGTTCTAATTTGAAATAATTCATTGCAATACCTTCCCAATTGGAGAGTAAGTAAACCTATGGTCAATGCTTTCAAACTATAATAGCATTTTTGTAGATCAAGTTATTTGAATATAGATTACTAAAGAATTAAAATTTGGAGATTGAAATAACGTTTATCTTTCTAATGTTAAAAGGTGCGCGTTTTTTTTTCTATGTAACTTGAACTGTCTTTAAATTCTTAAGAGCAACCATTCCCTTGTTTTCGAACAAAAGATACAGAAAACATGATGATACCATCATCGTTTAATTATCACTTTAGCCCTGTGGTTCCCAAAGTGAGGCTCATTCCACAAGGAGGAAGGGTAATATGCATATGCACTATACATTGATAAAAATAATTATATGTATGTACATGTGTAATTTATATATCTATAATATATTATATATATATATATATATATATATATATATATATATATATATATATTGCATATATATATATATATATATATATATATATATATATATATATAAACATGGAAATGTTTTAGTGTTTGAGCCTTTTCAACTTTATATTATATTCTTATATTAACTCTGTCCTGGACATTGAGTTCTACCTGGATTCTATCCTCTTGAGTTTATATATATATATATATATATATATATATATATATATATATATATATATATTATGCAAAACTAGGTAATCCGTATGTGGTAGACCCAAGGAGGATGATATCCGGAGAGCTCAATGTAAATTCAGAGCAAATATGTTTGAATAAAAACAGACCACTTTAAGGTTCCATGTAATAAATTATTTCACCACAGCCCTTTTAAAAGGGCTCTGGATCATCAGACTTTACTTCCAAAGGTTGAAATGAAAAATGAAAAGAAATTCACACATTTTTTACGGGCCGTATTAAGCATATGTAAATTAACGAAGTGAGGAAGTGAGTGGGGAGAGAAGACATAAGTGAGTTAGGTGTACCATTTCAATTCTTTATCCCTAACCCCACTTGGTGTGATTTATTACTAAATATACAATATGAACTATTTTTTAAATGCCGACATAAGAACAACCTAAACCTAAGAAAATACATTGAGAAATAACCATATAGGAAGAATAATATTGAATGACCTTTGTTCTTTTTGCTTTTGGAAATATTGCTATGCACGCACGAACGCGAACACATGACTGTATGTATATAACTATGGTATTGTACTTGAACACTGATACGTCTTTTAATATGTACATGTATATGTTTTTATATGGAAAGAGAGGCATGCAGGTTTCTTTTTCTTTTTTTTATGTATATGTAAGTGTGGATGCGTATAATTAGATGGGTACTTATATGTCTTGCCATAGATATGGGACGGCGGGTAATATATATATATATATATATATATATATATATATATATATATATATATATGTATATATAATTTGTGTGTATTCATAATGTAATGTATATTGATATTGATATGTTCTTTGAATGAATGCATATGTGGGTGTATATGTATGTATATATATATATATGTGTGTGTGTATGTGTATATATGTGTGTATATGTGTATATGTGTGTATATGTATATATATATATAGATATGCATATATATATTTTATATATGTGTGTGTATATATGTGTATATATATATATATATATATATATATATATATATATATATATAATATATACATATGTGTGTATATGTGTATATATGTAAGTACATATATGTGTGGATATGTATGTATATATGTGTGTATGTGTTTTCTACAGGTGTATATGAGTATGTATGGGTATATACATATAGTTTTGTGTGGGTGTGTGTGTATGTGTATATATGGATTTATAGGTATATAGGGATATGTATGTATGTGGATATAGATAGGTGTTCAGATATGTGTAGAGGTGTGTATGTGTATGGATATATAAATTATAAAAAGAAGGACCTAATTTTTTCTGTTAGTAATGTTTTTTATCCAAATTTCTCCTCTAATATTCTCCAATTGGAAGTGAGTTTAAATAATACGGAGGTAAATTTTTAATTGATAATTTAATTTAAATTGAAATATATTACCCTTTAATTAATCATTATTGATGATGATAAAATTATTTAAATTGGAATAACCTTTGATAATTATTAGGTATCTAAAAACAGTCACGAGTTTAATTTATGAACAAAAAAAAAAACGAATAGATGTCAACTTAATAATCAACAAAAAAAAAAAAAAGAAAATAAAAAAAGATAAAAAATGAATTATTCTTTCAATGTACTTTCTAGAAATTTTTTCCAATCGACTATTTCATAGAAATTATCCAAAAACTCCAACAAACATCAAATTAAATTCTTCGTAGATTTTTTAGACATTTAGATTTATATCAAACTTTAACCCCCAAATATACCCTTTAAAGTAATGCGAAATAACAGCATCCAAGAAATTGAGTGAAACCTCCTCTCAAAATCATGATTTATTTTATTGTATCTTCTTCCTTTTATGTCGGTTTTCTTCTTTCACCCAAACCCATCTATATATCTAGAGATAACATACGTTAAGTTATATATATATATATATATATATATATATATATATATATATATATATATATATATATTATATATATATATATATATATATATATATATATATATATATATTGTGAGTAAATAATATTTTATAAATATTGCAAAAATTTAAAATTAAATAATACTATTGCATATATGCAGTCTCAAGTTCTTAAGGAAAGTTAAACTAATG